TAGGGAAAGGAGAGAGATAATAGATACTTTCCAGATTGAAAACTAAACTAGACAGCTTTCATTGAATACTAGTGATATAAGAAAATATGTACAATTATATATAAATGTGTTCAGGAATGTGCAAAACTCTGTTGCCTCCCCCCATCCCCATGGCAACTCCCACAACATCTCCTGAGCAGAGCTGACAGGAGCTGAGGGGAGAGTGATGAGGGTCAGGAATGCAGGAGCCTGGGGATCAACGGTGATGCAGAGGCAGAGTCCTCTCTGGACGCTGGCTATGGATGGAAGAGAAGGGAAGAAGCAGAAAAGAAATTTACTTCATTGATCTCTGACCTTACACCCAGCTTATGCAGATATATGGGATGGAATACTTGGATCAATTTTGCTGTCCATCTAGTCCACTCCTCCCTATGGGAGGGCTGCAGGTCTGACTCCTCTGCTTCTGTTGGATCTGAGAGGCAGATTCAACAAGTACAGCAAAGTCCCGGCAGCAATATAAATTTTCCAGCATTATGAGTCCACTAGCTGGAAAACTTGCTGCTAGTTAAGACAGCTTACTGAAGGAAAAATAATCATTAAAAGGAAAATGGGCTTCATCCTAGCTCAAACAGGGACAACTCTAAAGTGTAATGCTTTCAAGAAAGGAAATGGTGGATTTGTTTGTGCATTTTGTTATTAAAAAGCAGTACTTAAGTACAAGAAAATACAGCAAGTGATCACTTGATTATGAGCACAGTAGAGAGATGCTGCGAAACTCATCTAAGATACTAAGATCATGAGAGCTGCTTTGAGTCTGGTCTTTTCTAATGTACATGTAATTGGTTTTGCTTTTAGCTTAATGCTTCCTACATTAATTTTTTTAGCATACATTACAAGTTAGTGGAAAAAAGTAGAACAGGACACAAACATAAAAAGCCTAGATGTAAAGGTAGGTGGCACTGTTGCTGTGATTACTGTATCCTACTTTTGTGCCCATATTTTATGTTACTGTCTTCATTGTGTCTTATAGTCTCTCAGATATTTTAACATATAACACTATGAATATTTCATTTTTAGACTCTGGGGAGTGGTTTGCCTCTTTATATTAATATGGAGGTAATTTACATTTATATATGGAGAATACCAACATTGACATACTGAAAAAAAAGTCAGCAGTTTGTAGTAATTTCTGTCACAAGGTGTTGTAACAGTTAAACAAGTTGTAACATCTTGCTTTATCACCATAGTTTTATTCTTTCTTGTAGGATTGCCTTCTAGGAGCGTTACATACCAAATATAAGAGTGAAGACTCTCTAGTGTACAAAGGTAATGCCAAACAACAGGGTTTTGATGTCTTTTGCAAGGAATAAATATACTAAAACAGTATAATTCCTAGATTTATTTTAAGTGGTTTTGTATTATGTCATTCCAAAGAGGCAGACATTCTTGGTCAGGGGTTTGTGATATCTGAGAGCCAGCCTGGGAATGTTAACATTCAGATGAAGAGCACAAAAGATGCTTTAAAACAGTGGTTACCAACCTGTTTGTGTTTAGGTCCTGCTTGAAGTAGTTGCTAGTAGTCCACCTCATAATGCATACATTTGGCTTTAGTTTAAAGATACATACGCATTTAATATTTAGAATGTCTTTGGGCCTCTTGAGAACCACATGGTGCTGGTGCATGCAGACAGCAGGGTAAAACAATGAGTTTGTCAAACTTTGGTTATAGAAAAGTTAGCATTTGAAGGCAAGCTGTAAAACTTCAGAAAGACAAATCTGCTTTGAAAACTAAGTAATTCTCCCTGTAGTTTAAGCTGTTACAGGTCTTCGTTCATCGCACAGTGTTTTTTTAGGTTCTCAAACATAGATGATTATGTGGCAAGCATTTCTGATAATACCTTGTCTATTTCTTAATGTCAGTTCAGGAATGCAAAAGAGAACTATTATTATTGTTACTATTATTATTGTTGTTCTTATTATTCTAGGTGATATGGACAGCTTACTGGAAAATATGACTACTTCTTTATCCAAGTGTTCTGTAGATTCAGAATTTACTGAAAGTGGAAGGGAAAACAGCATCAGATCTTCTGGTGGTTTCCTACGAAGTTTTAAACAATGGAATTGGTAAGAGGTGTTTTCAGCTTTCCTTTATCACTTATTATCTCTCATAATCCAGATAAACCATGACTAAACAATCCATTCAGATTGCACAGATCCAGAAGTTGTTTCAAGATGCTTGTTTTATTGTTAAGTAAGTCACTCTTTGTGGCTGATGTGTGAAATAATGTGAATGCAGATTTTAATGAGGAGTACTGTCATGCTCTCTTTCTAATCTGTGTGTGTTGGAATTGCTAATGGGATACAGGAATGATACAAACTGACCTAGGAGCAAAGCAAGTAGTTCCGACTGATGAACAGCTT